ACCCGGACTTGGAACTCGAAGCCCATGACTGGGTAAGTTGAGCGCTTGCTGCTGCACTTCCCGCAGACAGCCTGCCCGCATTTCCTGCAGTGATGCTTCACGGGTGACCGGGAGGAGGAAAACAGGGTGTTAGCTTTTGCCTTTTTGTTTTTTGTTTTGTTTTGAGACGGAGTCCTACTCTGTTGCCTAGGTTGGAGTGCAGTGGCATGATCTCGGCTCACTGCAACCTTTGGCGCCCGGGTTCAAGCGATTTTCCTGCCTCAGCCTCCCGGGCAGTTGGGATTACAGGTACCTGCCACCACGCCTGGCTAATTTTTGTATTTTTAGTAGAGATGGGGTTTCACCATCTTGGTCAGGCTGGTCTCGAACTCCTGACCTCATGATCCACCCACCTCAGCCTCCCAAAGTGTTGGGATTACAGGCGTGAGCCACAGCGCCCGGCCTAGCTTTTGCTTTAAAGCACATGGTTTCCCTCTAGAGTAAGGGAACAGGAGTGGGGAGGATATGCCTTGAATTGTAATCACCCCAATTCAATGTATCAATTAACGCTCACAAAATAGACAATTTTGACACTAGTCAAGGATTTCCAAAAAACTTTGCTGTACTGGTCAAATGTTGCTTTTCATTCATTCATATTATCTGTCTACATGTTAACAAACAATACTATTAACACCAAATTTAGTTCATTTAGGAGCCTAATCACTGTAGATTTGGGGAAAGAAAAATTTATTCCTCCATCATAAAAAAGGCATTATTATTTAAAATAAGTTTTATTTATTTATTTTTATAGAGACAGGGTCTCACCATGTTGCTCAGGCTGGTCTCAAACTCCTGGGCTTAAGCCACCCTTCCACATTGGCCTCCCAAAGTGCTGGGATTACAGGCGTAAGCCACCACACCGGGCCTAAAATAAGTTTTAAATGCACTATGCTCTCATTAAGAAACTAATGCCCATAAATCATACGTTTTGCTATATTTTAAAATCTCTCAAACTGTGATTCTGGAAATAAGCCTCAAGAACATTACAAAACAGTCCAATTATTATTACTGATTTTGACATATTCTTTTACCACCAACAGTTTAGTGACCAGCACCACTTCTCTCTTAACTGTTAATAAATGGGAGTAAAATCCATTTCTCTGTGCTTCCTTTAGAAGTAGGGAATACTTCTATTAATTATACTGCACTAATTACCATCAGCCTTGCATTGTGAGAACTTGGCTAATGACAAACAGAACTCAGGTGCTATTTCAGAGCTTTATAATGGTCTGAGCGCTAAAATAATCCCCTTCTTGCCCGCCAGTCTCATATGAGAACTTATTGTGGAGTAGCTCTGTAAAACTTTTTAGAGTTTATTTATTAATTTATTTTTTTGAGATGGAGTCTCGCTCTGTCATTTAGGCTGGAGTACAGTGGCGCGATCTTGGCTCACCGCAACCTCCGCCTCCCAGGTTCAAGTGATTCTCTGGCCTCAGCCCCCCGACTAGCTGGGATTACAGGCGTCCGCCACCACACCCAGCTAATTTTTGTATTTTTAGTACAGACAAGGTTTCGCCATGTTGGCCAGGCTGGTCTCAAACTCCTGACCTCGGGTGATCCACCCGCCTCGGCCTCCCAAAGTGCGGGGATTACAGGCCCGAGCCACCAAGCAGGGCCAAAAAAGTTTATTAACACATACAAACTTTAGGCTAATCTCTCATAGAGGTGAAACCAATAATAAAAGGAATAAAATTAGCATCTTTTTTACTTACCTGCACAAATTCATATTTACCCTGAGTGGTTACCTTCAAGGCTGCTGTGGAAATGGGTTTGTTTTT